AACAAATTGTATTTAAAACAGCTATTTTAAAAAATGTATTTTGTATTTTAATACTTTAGTTCCAAAATATTATGTATTTTTACTTCAAATTAAAATATTAACCACGAATTTGCAATTTGAATTTTTAAATACTTCTAGAAACTATTTTTCTAAACTAAAGGCATATACATATTCTCCACCGTTACCATAACAAACGTCAAACCTAGTCTGTGAATGTGGCAGATTTCAGCCACGAAACGACCGTTACATACTTTTATAGCGTTTTCTCATTTTTTTCCAGCAAAATAACTATGTGCTTTTGTATTTAGCTCAAATATTAGTTTCACAAGATATTGAACAGAACATAGTAACACTGGGAGCAATTTAGTCACTAAGAAAGTAAAACTTTGCAACAATGCGGCGGTCATTGAAAATTGCCAACAAGCCTCGAAAAATAGATAAATAATTAAAGATAACTTACCGCTCCATTGTATTTTCCATGATATATGATAATATAACTTGTACTTCACAATTTTAAAAGCAAAGTTATCACAGCAATGTTCGATCTCAAAGCGCAAAATCAGTAGAACTTCAATGACAAGATTCTATATTTTTCTTATTTAGACATTTCTAGTATTAATGTATATTATAGAGCCAAGTTCATAGAAAAACACACTTATAGTCTTATTGCACCGGGAAAGATAAAGAAACATACGAGTTTTGCAGCGAAATACGACCATGTAGTAATGGCAGAATTCAGCCAGTGCACAGACGCGGCTTTTTTTTTCTTGACTGAATTCTGCCATCTCACAGGCGAGAGGTTATGGCAAAAATGCAAGATAGAAAAGGATACCAAATCTCATGACTCTGTAACCAACAAGGAGATTGTAAAGTATAGGGAGTGCGCACTTCATACTAGAGAAACGTTCCTAAATCAGTGACCTTGAAATGAATGAAAGCCACCGAGTTAGGCGTTGCATTTCTTTCTAATAGAGTGTCCATGATACAATATTTTGAGAATATTATTAGTGTATACAGCATCACGGAAAACGAAATGCGTATTTTTTTCAATATGGAAAGTGCTGAAAAGTGTTATAATTAAACTCCGCTTATATTTTGATTACATTATTGCTTCGCTACAGTATAAAACCTTAAGGTAACTAGTGGCGGCGTAGCGTGAAAACAAAAAATGCTATACATGCTAACGGGACTTTATTTTGCTAAAGTATTCTAATATATAATCAAAGTTTACTTTCTTGTCATTTTCGATAGATAAAATGGAAAGATTGGTTAGTCCCGCTTGGCTCATTGTGGACCTTAAGTTAGATTTTGTTAAATTGAGTTTTGATAAGCTTCCTTCACAAGAAACGTAATAGTAAAAAAATCTTAGACGCAGCGTTCGATTCAGAACAGATTCAAAATAGCCCAATTTTACGAGAAAAGCTCCAATGAGTTACATTAAACCGCTTCTTGGGAACAAAATGCTGGTAGCTTTCAAGTCGTGAAGTCTCCAAAATTATAAATCCTGCAGAAAAATCAAAGCAGATTTTTGTAATATTTTGAACTATTATTTGAAGATCTTCATCTGGTGACGTTAGAAGGGTGTAAGGCTGAACAACACTAAATTTTACGAGAATATAATCCATTGCTCAGTAGCGATAGTCTAGTTCCTCGTAAAATCTGTCGAGACATTCTAACATAGCTTTCTGCAGCTCCTCTGGCAATGTTAGTCCAGCATATCGGATCATTTCTTCTGGTAAACGTTTTCGAAATCTCCTCATTCCTATTCTTCCTTCAATCGAAATTTCTACATTATAACATTTTTTGTTACGTAGGGAATAGCTTTTTCCACTAGTTGAATACGTGGAATTTGAAGAAAAATTTTTGGGCTTTGATTTTTATCTCATACTTTTCCAGTGATAATATAGATTATTATTATATTATTTAGTATTTGCTTTTGTGTTTGACTAACTTCTATTAGGATTTTACACCAAAAAGAAAGATAGCATAAAAAACTGAAGTCACACAAAGCTGGTAAGAGTGTAGATACTGCTTCTTTTGTATCGACGTTTTCTCTGTTCATGCTGGGATCATATATATCTTCGAGTGTTTATACTAATTTTTTAAATAATTCTGCAGTGGTTTAACAACGTCACGATGAGCAATTCATTTTGTCTCTGAGAGTCTTTTGACGGATACGCCTACACTTTTTATTAAAGTTTCCCATTGACGTGTGGATGATGAAAAGAACCTGTAAACTCTTTCTACTGTTCCGAAAAAAAGTTAAACTTGAATTAACGCTCCCTAAGTGAGTGCACTCCACATCATCATCATCATCATCATCATCATCACAGCCTTTCATAAGTCCACTACTGAACATAGGCCTCCCCCAAGGAATGCCACAAAGCTCGGTCCTGAGCCACCTGCATCCATCGACTTCCTGCATGTCTTACCTGGTCGTCACTCCATCTCATGGGGGGTCGCCGTACACTTCGCCTACCGGTACGAGGCTGCCACTCAAGAACCTTTCTTCCCCATCGGTTGTCGGTCCTTCGAGCTATATGGCCGGCCCACTGCCATTTCAGCTTACTGATCCGTTGGGCTATGTCAGTTACTCTGGTTCTACTGCGGATATCCTCATTCCTAAGTTTATCACGTAGAGAAACTCCGAGCATAGCCCTCTCCATAGCTTGCTGAGCGACCTTGAGCTTCCTCATACGGCCAGCAGTGAAGGACCGCGTCTCAGTTCCGTAAGTCATCACTGGCAACACGCACTGGTTGTACAATTTCGTTTTAAGGTTTTGAGGTATGTCTGACGACAAGATGTGTCGTAGCTTCCCGAACGCTGCCCAGCCAAGTTGAATCCGTCGATTGACCTCTCGGTCAAAGTTGGACTTACCTAGTCGGACTATTTGTCCCAGGTAAACATACTCGTCAACAACTTCGAGCTTAGTGCTCCCAACAACTACCGGCATAGGTGTGACATGGACATTAAACATAATCTTCATTTTGTCCATGTTCATCTTAAGACCTATCCGTTGGGAGACACTATTGAGGTCATTGAGCGTGCTGCTTAGATCCTCCAGCGATTCTGCCATAAGGACTATATCGTCGGCAAATCGAAGGTGAGTGATGTACTTGCCATTGATGTTAATACCATATCCTTTCCAGTCCAGAAGCTTGAAAGCGTCTTCCAATGCAGCGGTGAAGAGTTTCGGGGATATAACGTCACCCTGTCTTACACCTCTCTGCAATTGGATAGGTTTCGTACTCTGGTTCTGTACTCGGATAGCCATCGTAGCTCTACTGTACAAGCAATTCAGCACTTCGATATACCGACAGTCAACTTGGCACCGCTGAAGGGACTGCAGCACCGCCCAAGTTTCGACGGAATCAAAGGCTTTCTCATAGTCCACATACGCTAGGCATAGTGGCAATTTGTACTCCTCGGACTTCTGTACAACTTGCCGAAGCACTCCACATAGATTTAGCGAATGATTAGCACAAGGCGTTTTCTACGTGGTAGAGCCATGCTGCAGCTATATAAATAGTATAGTTGTAGCACAAATGGGTTGACTCAACTGGGGAAGAACCACGCTCTCACAGAAAACCAGCGTAAAATAGCAGCTTAACGCTGCTGTGTTTCGTATGGTGAGTGTAGAGAACCGGAGACCCTTTTTACTGGCAAAGAGGCATTCCATCTTAGTCCTCACGGGTGACAACGCATCTGCATCTTGAGTCTTTATTGAGGATAGATGTAGATGTCTATGGGTCACAGTAACCACTTACCATCAGGTGGATTGTGTGCTCGTTTGTCACCCGATCCTATAAAAAAAAAATTCATACATTAAAGTGTTTTAGTGTTTTTTTTCGTGTTACTTAATAATAAGCTTAATTAAACTACAATATGGAATATACCAACTATGATTAGCGATAAAAAATGTAAGATTATCGTTCTAGCATACGTCTAAAATATTACTTTAAGTCAATAACTGTCTAAACGTTGGTAATATTTTTATCTTGTGTAAACACTTATCAATGTTAAAAGGGGATAAAATACCAAACTCGGTGCCTCTCTTTCTAAGAAAAATGAGGAACGATTACAATGTTCTAAGCGCTCACTCCCTATATTATATTATAACCTGCTTGGTAACCAATTTTGAATGACAGATCGATACAAGTCGGCACCACAAACTATATAGAAACACTACGCCAAGTGGTTATATTCTCTTTGCACTACGCGTTCAGACGGACGTCTCTGGTACATTTAGTTTGGACCTATGGAGTGTAGAGTACTAGGAGAACCATCTTATAAGGGGCGAAAGTTGAAAAAGTGTCCTACTATTTACTGAAAATAGCGGTTCCAAAACCTACCACAATAGCGCTGGCGTTTGAAAAACTACGATATGAAGATAGCTGTTGTGAATGGAGTGAAGTTAGTTGAATTCAAATATTTAAAAAATTTCATGACTAGAGTAGTTAGTAAAATGCCAGTATACGAAATCTCAACTATTTACGTAGTACAAAACCAAGCGGATTGGCCGGTCCTTGTTGATTTCTCCATCTTATTCTAATTACTTTTGGCGCTTTTTTTTAATTTATCCTATGCTACTGCAGCGCCACCCTTATTGGACACGTTTTTAGGGACACTTTTCATATATAGAGATGGTCCTCCTTCTCTCTACACTCCATATTTGGACCGTAGAGCAAATCAGAACATGACATTTCTTTTTTTTTTAATTAGAATTGGATATAGGCATAGGAATAATTTTATTTCAACCTAGTATTATATATATATATATATATATATATATATATATATATAAATTTATAAAATAATAAAATTTTAATTACTATATAGTTTACTCATCTGGTTGGGCTGTATAAATATATAATTGTCAATGAAAATGATAAACATACATAAATATCAACGAAATAAAATAAATGCATAAAAAATACATAAATAAATAAAAACCCAACCAGATGGAAGCCCTCGGCAGGGGAGACCAGACGGCCGAGGGTTAGGGGGAAAGGGAAAGAAACCGGCGGACGATGCGGGCGGTATCGAGGAGCACCGCCTTCTGCATTTGAGCTTGGAGCGGTCCGTCACGGAGTCCCAGTCGCTTCAGATGACCCGAGAGGCTGACTGGGATTAACCCGTTCGCAGAAACGACTACAGGTATAATTTCGGCCGGCAGTCCACCCCACATGTCGGTCACCTCGTGAGCCAGGTCCAGATATTTTGTTCGCTTATCTGTTTCGGCTTTCACGAGGTTCTCGTCATACGGAATGGTAATGTCGACCAAAAATATCCTTGACTGTGCCCGGTCCATCAGCACAATATCAGGCTTATTCGCAAGAATGGTCCTGTCTGTGATGATGGCCCGGTCCCAGTAGAGCCTGGCGCGGTCATTTTCGAGCACGGCTTCCGGCATGTACTTATAATAAGGCAGTTTCCGATCCACGAGACCGTATTTCAGAGCGAGCTCCTGGTGTAGAATCCTGGCTACTAGGTTGTGCCTATGCAAGTACTCAGAGTTAGAAAGCGCCGAACAACCGGAGATGACATGCCTAAGTGATTCACCGGGATGGCGACAAGCTCGACAAATGTCGACGGTGCCATCCCTTAGGATGTATCTCCGATAGTTGTTGGTCTTAATAACCTGATCCTGTATTGCACAGACAAAACCCTCGGTTTCCCCAAAGAGGTCACCAAAACGTAGCCAGTGGAGGGAGGCAACTGTATCTACGAAAGGCTCATGTAGAGCCTTGTAGAACCTCCCGTGGAGCTCCTTCTCCTTCCATACGGTCTCCCGGTCGGGAATGCTCTGTACTTCCGGGTCTTGCCATTGCTCGTTGGCTAAGGATAGAGGGGTAAGTCCTTTATCACAAAAAATAACGTCCCTATAGAATGGATCATCCGCTCTCGCCAGAAAATAATTACGGAGGCTGCACACTTCGCGATTATGCAGGGTAAGCGCGCTTAAAAAGCCGCGCCCACCATGCCTCCGCGGCAAGTACAGCCTCATTACCGACGATCTCGGATGATGCACTCTGTGGGACGTCATTATAGTGCGGACTTTTCTGTCCAGAGCGTTCAGTTCGGTCTGAGTCCACCTGAGTATGCCAAAGGTATACATGAGAACAGGCATGATCCAACCGTTATAAGCGTGTGTCTTATTAACGCCCGACAAAAGACTGTTAAGCATTTTTGTCAAGCGTGCATAAAACACATCGCAAACTGACTGCTTCATACCCGCCTCATCGACACCGATGTTCTGTGACATACCCAGGTATCGGTATGTTTCAGCCTCGGAAAGGGTCCTTATGCTGATGGGCATAGATAAGTCCATGCCCTCAGAGTTAGCAACCCTTCCCCTTTCGACATGGAGGATCGCACACTTATCCGTCCCCAGCTCCATTCCAATAGAATTGCTAAAATCACAAGTGATGTTTAGCAATTCCACAAGATGGGAGCGACTGGAGGCGAATAACTTGAGATCATCCATATAGAAAAGGTGGGTCACTTTTGTACCTCCTTTCCGAAGCTGAAATCCCCTTCCGGAACCCTCCAGTAAGGTACTGAGAGGATTCAGAGAGAGGCAGAACCAGATTGGACTCAAACAATCGCCCTGGAAGATACCCCTTCTTATCCTTATGTGGTTCTCCGCAGCCGTCATCCGCTGGCCTAGATGACAAAGGATCGTACTCCACTGCCCCATACACTGCCCGAGGAAGTCTCGAACTGTACAGTCGACCTTGTACAGCTCGAGGACCCTCTTAAGCCATGTATGAGGCACCGAGTCGAATGCCTTTTTGTAGTCTATCCAGGCGGCGGAGAGGTTCCGACGGTTGCGTTTAACCACCTTGCCAATGACCGCGTCAATGAGGAGTGGTTCCTTGGTTCCACGACCACCGCCCCGACATCCATTTTGAGCGCGCGACATCACCTGATTTGAGTTCAGGTGACGAGTGATTCTCGCGCTCAAAATGGATGTTAGTGTCTTGTATATGGTAGGTAGACACGTTATGGGGCGGTACTTGCTGGGGTCTGTGGAATCCCGGTCTTTAGGAACCAAATGAGTGATCCCAGTAGTGAAGAGGCTCGGGAGCGACTTTTGGTCGAGAGCCTCTTGAAACTGTCGGGCGAGCACAGCGTGACACACCACGAACCCCTTCAGCCAGTAGTGATGCAGTCCGTCGAGCCCCGGACTTTTCCAGTTCGGGGCCCTACGGACCGCCTCAGCTACGTCATCCGGCGTTATGATGACGGGGTCCATGGGCGTAATATTCGCACACTGACTCGCCACAACTTCCGTCCAAGGGCCCTCGCTGTGGTTTACGGGCTCTGACCACAGGCCGCGCCAGAATGCGATAGTGTCGGCCTGTTTCGGTGCTGGGCCCGTTCCACGTACCATTGGTCGCTCCAATGATTCATAGAGCCTCTTCTGATCACTCTGGAAGAGACGATTCTGGTTGAACCGTGTCGACCTCTCGGTATATCGCCGAATCCGCTTCCCCCAAGCAGCGATTCTCTGCTTCAGGTCGTCTATGCGCTCCGTCAGTTTTTGCATTATATCCGGCTGGGACAAACTGATATTTGTCCCAGCAAACGCCATCCTGACGGTGCGCACAATTCTCGGCCTATTATTGCCCGACCTGAAGCTTATTAGTCTGCCGATGAGGACCCTTGCCTTTGCGATACGGTCCTCAATCCTTCTTCTCCAGGCTGGGATGGCGCTACTTTGTCTAGTAGCGCGTCCAGCCGTGGGAAGTTTGGCGCCAATAATACGGCAAACTGCCAGTGCGGCGCCAAAAAGAATTGAGTCCGTCTCGCAAAGGTCCCGGCTGGCTTCCAAATAGGTCACCAGCATTGGGTTAAGAGCCCTCACGACAGCCCGATTGCGCTTGCTTAGGGGTATGCGCGGTAGTCGCGGTCGACTTTCGAGAGGCGTACTGCGCGTTTCCACAATCGCCTCCTCCAATTTACTCCTCATCTGCTCTAGTTCTTGGGTGACCATTCCATCATCGTCTGAATCAACTACAACTGGAAAATCCGCGGCGGCATCGACGTGTGCAGATTGTTCTGCAATTTGTGGCGTCGCATTACCAGCTATAGCATTTTCATCCGATGAGGGAACAGCCTCACGTCGTAGTCGTTCGAGTTCGGCGTCACCAAATATGTTGGAGCGCAGGATGTACCGAACTCGGTCTGCCAGGTTTTGCTCTGATACATGAACAGATGGCTCCAGCTCCGCGAAAAAGCGATGCATCCGAGCCCGATACGCCAACATTCCAGTTTCTTCCCCTTTTGCCCTAAAATACGCTCGCAATGCGTTTGCGTTCATCATTTTTGTCCAACGCATGCGACGTGTTCCACCAGTGGCGGGTGCCGCTTGCTGAGTCCGAGAAGAACCAGCCGACACCAAGCCTTCTGGTGGGGATGATGGATGCGGGCGGCTACTAGGTGGTCTTGCAGCCCCCCGCGCTTGACTGGCGACCCGCATGCTGTCGCGTCCAGCGCCAGCTCCAGACGCGCCCTGGCGACCTCCAGGCAGCGGCCCTTTGCGCACTCTTTTAATGTCCATCATCCATTGTATGGGCGTCAATTAACGGGAGACGCCCAGGCCCGGCACCGTTTCATGGTGCGGCCATAAGCACAGACGGACCTTTGCACCCTCAATTCTGCCGAGGCACGGCGCACACACCTCTTGGCAAGGCGCTGACTGACTGCACTGACGTAGCAGTTTTGTCACTTAACTGTTACGTCAGCGGGCGGTGGGGTCGTCACTTCCCTACGCCATTTAATAATAATTACTATTATTATTATTATTTTATTATGAAGAAGGAGGGTTCGTAGAAATAAAATGCATTGTATATATTATTTTTATATGATTTATTTTTTTAACTTTTTAATACTCGTTTAAGCCTTTTTTTTTGCATTGGTGGCAATGTACGCTTTTCGATTCTAATGATGTCCGTGCCTTTCAGAATCCCATCTGTGGTATATGCTATAGAGTAAACATTTAATTGCTCTCTTGCTGCTTGCACTTGAATATTTTCAGTGGAAAGGTTCTCTTCAATATCTTCGATATCCAGTGTATTGAGCTAGAAAAAGGAATATTTAAATATATAAATTACAAGTAGTTAACTTTGAATATGTGCGCTAATTGAAATTGTTTTTGTTTATAAATGTTTGCATAGAAAATGTCAAGACAAGAAGAGGCCATTGTAATCAGACAAAGTTACTTTCACATAAATCTAACAAGCTTTCACAATTATACAGAAATTTCCAATAATTTTTGAACATAATTATCATTGATACCTAAGATAATTAAGTACACTCTAGCAATTTTTGATAGAAGGTTGAGAGGATAAAAGTATTTGTAAAGTAGCCAATTATCTATTGGAGTATATGTTCATCTTCTACTGCTGGGCACATACTCTGTCTCATTTCTCAGAGGGGTATGAAACAATGAGTTGCGCAAGGTGCTTATTGGTAGACTACATCTTTAAAATATTTTTATTCCTTAGACACACAGATTTAGTCACAATGTTCCAGAACATGATAAATTAGCACTTAAAATTGGAATTAACATTAATTCATTTATTTCAGAGGTGTAGACAGAGATCAGATTTGCTCAAAAATATAAACATATTACGAGTCCAAGGGAGAGGCATTGGCCGTTAGTTTGGATATTGCGAAGGCCTTCTATCGGGGTTGGCACAAAGCGCTTCCTTCGAAGCTCCCTTCCTATGGGCTTCCCGAGAAATTGTACAACTGGATCACCAGCTTTTTTGCAGATCGGAGCATTTCTCACAGAATACCAGCGTCAAATAGCAGCTTAACACTGCTGTGTTTCGTATGGTGAGTGTAGAGAACCGGAGACCCTTTTTACTGGAAAAGAGGCATACCATCTTAGTCCTCCCGGGTGACAACGCATCTGCATTTTGATTCGCAAACGAGGATAGATGTAGATGTCTATGGGCCACAGCAACCACTTACTATCAGGTGGACTGTGTGCTCGTTTGTCACCCTATCCTATAAAAAAAAATCCTGAGTTTCAAAGCACTCCCCTTGTTGCCTCAGCCAGTATCGGAATCCTCGGCGTCAACATATCGAGTGATGTGCAATTTCGTGTCCACTTGGAAGAGAAGGTAAAATTGGAATCTAAAAAGCTTGGCCCGTTCAGCAGAGCGGGACAGTATTTCATGGCGGCACTTCGCCTGCCACTTTACAAGGCGCAAGTTCGGCCTCACATGGTATACTGTTCCCATCTATGGGCTGGGGCTCCTCAGGGCTTTATTAAAAAATATAAAGCTGTGTTTGGTAATAACAAAATGGTTTCCTTAAGTTTTTTTAAGAATTTTTTTCTTTTACAAAATATCTAAGGACCACGCCGCGCCGCCGCGACGCCGCCGCCGCCGAGGTAATTTTGAGGCCACGCCGCTGCCGTGGAGTTGGCCTTTGGCGCTCATATCTAGCTCCGCTTCCTTGACGAATTTGATTTGGTTCGAGGATCATCTCGGTTTTTTCTTCACGCCACGGACCTCCGATTCCGACAGATTTTTACATCGAATTCGCGAAGGACGCAACACTACCGAAGTGTGACGATCCTAACGGCTGCGTCAGTCAAGTTTACGGGAACGTGAAATTATTCTTTAAAAACTATTTAAAATCTATTTATTTTTAATTACAATAATTATAATTCTAATTACTTAATTAATACGTCTTGACAGAAGTTGATGTCAAAACGAAGTGGCCGCTCCTCCCATGAGCTCTGCCTTATATCTCATGCAACCAAAAGCGCACTACAGACTCTACAGTTACTGGATACTGTCTAATGCTTATGCAGCCCCCTCTAGGTACAAATCCTAACAACCCTATGGTCTTGTGCATGGGCATGCAACTTAGAACATTATTTTACGAACAAAATGATACGTTTTATGTGCTTCCATCTACATTCCGAAATGCTAGTCTAGACTTATTTCAACCGGTTCAGTGCGGATGGCATGCCAGGCGTGCCATAGATTACATTTGTGTGTGGCGTTTGACACACGAGTCGTGTCTTTTTAAAAATCGTTATAACTCGCTCAAATTGTGTTTTTGAAAAATTTATCCAGAAGAAAATATTCATTATTTTGCAAGTAGTTCATGCCTGCAGATACGTTTCTGAATATTTTGAAATTTTGGGGGGTTGACAACCTTTTTTGTACCAACTTGTACATGGTAATCTTTTTACTTTATGGGTTTTCAATCATGTTGTGGAAAAATAGACTAATAAGTAATAAATAATAGCACTCATTGCGATCGCTCCAAGCTCTAGTTGTAAATAAATTTCTGGAAAACAAGTCTCCTGTTAAAAAAACCAATGCGTTTGTCTTATTGTTTCATTTTGCTTTAAATAGTTGAACTGCCGTCTTATTACTATCATATGGCCAAATAGACCTACGAAGTACCATGTGCTCTTGTGATATGGTATAAGGTTTATTTTTGCTTAAAACAGCTTGAAACCGTTCATGCATAAAAAAAGTTCGCTAATAAATAGTCTTTTGTCAATCCGCCGCCGTAATGCGCCGGCGTTTGTTTCCTTTTGAAAACACTTGTTTTGCTATTCTTACTAATTAGACGTTTACAAATCGACTTTACTTTTACATTTGTATAACATTAAATAATATTTAACATTTGTAAATATTAATGAATCATAAACCTTATTTTTTCCAAATTAAGGTCCTTGATTGTTTGATATTTACAAATATTATTACCAGGTGAAAATTTAATTTAATAAAATCCAAGGTTTTCCAGGTTGATTTAGCTGTACCTACTTATATAAATGATTTCTTTATAAAACAAAAAATAGTACAAAATGTTTGTAATCTCTGCATACAAAAAGTCACTTACTGGCAATTTCAAAGAAAATACGTAGAAAAACACGTAGTTACCCACTAAAAACAAGTATCCTTCCGTTTGTAACTGATGTTTGATGTCAACTAAACTTAATTAGGTCTAAACAAGTGAAAAAAACATAAAATAGATAATTATTTTTACACATGGCTGATGGCACAATAGGCGTGTCGTCCACTCCTGTGGCGCTCGACACGCCAGGCGTGTAATGTAATATTTGTTCGCCGCTACAGCTAAAAGTTGTTGAAAATTGGTGCCGCAACGAATCGGTTAATCTCACTAGAGGGCACACTTATATATAATTATAATCAGTAATAATAAGTCTATGCATACGAATTATTTCAACACGAAGGTAAATTTCGCCACTACGTACAAGGTTATTGTAGCTCAGATGGGTAACCGGGCGGTCCCCAAACCAAAAGACCCCGGATCGAATCCAGCAGATGTGTATGTGTGTTTTTGTGTAATAATAATATATAAATAATATAAAATAAATATGTAATGGCGCATTTACATTAGTCGGTTAGACCGTATTCGGCTGCAGGCCGTATTCGGTCACCGACTAATATAAACAGGTATTCGTTTGGCCGTATTCGGTTTGGCCGTATTCGGTCGAGCCCGTTTTCGGTGTCGAGTGCGCCGTGCCCCGCCCGTCACCCGCCGCCCGCAGCCCGCAGCTCAGTTCGAAGAGCGCGAGCCAATCCGCCGCACGCGCACGATTGTGCATATTAAAATGGCCTCTCGAAAATTAAGTGACTCGGAAATGCCGCACTTGGTAGAACTGTATCGGGAAAACGAAGTTCTATGGAAAGTTACACATAACACATATCATTGCAAGACATAAGCAAGAAAATAAAAAATTAACGGTCTACCTACATAAAAGAAAGAAAAAAAATTGACGCTAGCTTCAGATCCGGTGCCAGTACACAATCTGTTTATAAACCAAAGATGCCGTGGTTTGAAATAGCTGATGGATTTTTGAGTACATATACAAGTAAAAGACATACAAATACAAATATGCTAAGCAAGTTTATTAACCTAAATTAACACAGTAATTACATATTATTTATTTATTTATTGAAGACAATTTGTTTGCCAAGAAACAGCGCCAGTATCACTGTTAAAATAATCACGTAAAGCATTTCGTTCTTGTCTTGTCTACAGTCCATATTGTTTTCTTCAACAAATGATAGAAAATTAGATCTCCAGGTATTTGAATATGCAAAGTGTGCATGTGCAGGGGATGTTTTACGCAGCCAATTATGAATATGCAGCATGTTTTCACGTCTTTCTCCGTATTTTTAATATTTAAATTGATATGTTTTCCAAATATTTGAAATCGCGAAGCCAATATGCCAAAGGCGTTTTCGACAATCCTCCGAGCCCTCGATAGTCGATAGTTGTATATTTTTTCAGCAACAGTAAGATCATGACCCGGGTAAGGTTTCATTAAGTAATTTTTGAGTGGGAATGCAGCATCAGCTACGAACACGTATCTTTCAGGAATATTAAGAGCATTGTTATCAATTGCCGTTTTCAATGGAGAATGATCAAAAACATCACCGTCTGAATCTCTGCCTTTTGCACCAATGTCCATGTCAATATACGTAAAACAATAATCGTGATCTACACAAGCTAATAATATTATACTGTATTTTTTTTTTATAATTAAAGAAATCTGACCCA